TAACCTTTTTTTTCTACAAAGAATAAGAAAAAAATATATTTAGACGAATTTAAAAGGTCATAGGTAAATCTCACGTGGAATCGCCCATATATATGGGACGTTCCACGTCAAACGGAACAGAGCTCTAGCCAAAAATTGGCTTGATAAAAAAAATCGTTTAAGGTCTGAAAAAACTTGTACACTCTTGTACTTTCGAAAGCAGATGGGCGATTTCAGAAATTCAATATGGCGGCGCCTCTAGATGTGATATAAGTCATCAATGTCACGATTCGACAAATACAAACATGAATAAAATTTCCAAAATTAATTAAATTGAATCAAAAAATACACTTTTAAGCATTTTTGTGGTCGCTGAATACGAATCTGAAGTCAGATTTTAAAAATTCAAAATGGCGGATCCAAAATGGTGGTCGATTTTTGTTAAAACTAAATATTTTTTCTCAAAACTGGTTACTCGGGGGTTTTTGGGGTCGCTGAATGCGAATATGTTGTAAATAAAATAATAATAATAAAAAACTAAGCGCATATGAAAAATAAAAAAATAATATGTAAAATTAATGAGTAGTAAAGTGTTTGTAAGGACTTTTGATATTTAAATCTTTCTTTTACATAGGTAAAATCATAAAGCTCTAAAAAATATACACTGTTAGTTACAATGCTATCATTCATAAAAGGTTTCAAAGACACTTGGCTAAAAAATATACAAGTGCTCCTTTGTTTTAAAAATAAGCGACCTTTAAAACACCCGAATAACATATTTAATCAAAAAAATCTAATTTTATAATTAATTCATCCACACCGAAAACACCCAAATAACAAGTTTCGAAGAAAAAATTGAATTTTAACGAAAATCGACCACCATTTTGGATCGGCTATTTTGAATTTTTAAAATCAGACTTCAGATTCGTATTCAGCGACCCCAAAAACCCCCGAGTAACCAGTTTTTTAAAAAAATTGAGTTATAACAAAAATCGACCACCATTTTGGATCCGCCATTTTGAATTTTTAAAATCTGACTTCAGATTCGTATTCAGCGACCCCAAAAATGCTTAAAAGTGTATTTTTTGATTCAATTTAATTAATTTTGGAAATTTTATTCATGTTTGTATTTGTCGAATCGTGACATTGATGACTTATATCACATCTAGAGGTGCCGCCATATTGAATTTCTGAAATCGCCCATCTGCTTTCGAAAGTACAAGAGTGTACAAGTTTTTTCAGCCCTTAAACGATTTTTTTATCAAGCCAATTTTTGGCTAGAGCTCTGTTCCGTTTGACGTGGAACGTCCCATATATAAATATATATATAAAAGCACACATTGTGCGCGTGAAGATATATATCTACAAGAATTTGCAATTTTTTGAAAATCGATTATTTTAAAAAAAGATTTGGTACTAACCACTTAATCAAAATTCGAAACGAATATAGAAATTTTTCTTGTTTTTCAAAAATACTGGTTTTATGACTTTTCAAAAAACGTGGGGAGTTGTGCTGCACCGTTGAAAATTGAAGAATAATTATATGTTTTAGAATATTCTTTATGTAAATTATGAAATGTAAAAAGTAAGATAATTTACATAAAATAAAGTAATAGGTAGATAAGATTTTATATTTATTAATTTATTAATATTTTATCGTTACCATCTTAGCTTAGTGTAAATTTACTGTAAGCTTAGCTTGTAATATAGCTTACAATAACCTTACGAAATATGTTTACAGTGACCTTACTAAATAAGCTTGAAGTGGGCTTACCTTGTAAGATTACTGTAGGCTTACTGTGTAAGGTCACTGTATGTTAAGGCCTAAGCAGAATGACTCCGGTTACGAATACGAGTACGGGAAATATGACATAGAAAAGGACAGATATAGTTTCCGTCCTTTTTTGTCTCATGTTTTCCGTACAAAAAAATGCTGGCGCAGGTGATTTACAAAAATCTATCCTACCTATAGCTCCAATTTTTTTTACGGCTTATTCTACACAAGCATCCCGGCTGAAAAATTTGTACAAGAAAATGTACAAGAAGTACATGTTCATGAATGAACTTGTCCATGTTTAAGTAATGTTCTTGAACAAGTTCAGCATCCGGAATTGAGACAAGTTCTTGTATATCAGAACTTGTACTAGATCCTGGATAAGAAAATATACTTGTACAAGAAAATTTACATATTCCTGAACACATTCTTGTTCAGATTTTTTGTACAAGTACTTTTACATAAACACGTTTATATTCTTGTACAAGAACATTTATATAAAAAATGTTTTTGAAAAAAATTTGAAATTTTAATAAGTTATAATTATTAAGACTCTTCACTTATGCATGCTGAAAATTGTTGCGCAGCCTTTAAAGTTTTTGATTTTTAATTTAAAAACATAAATGAACATGTTCCACATCTGGTACAAGAAAATGTACATGAAACCTGCACATAAATATGAACGAGAACATGTATATTTTCTTGTCCAGGATCTTGTACAACAAGCTGAACTTGTTCAAAAACATTTCTTCAACATGTAAAAGTTCATTCATGAACATGTACAAGAACCTGTAAAGCATTTTTTATTAATAAACAACAAAATGGCGGACTTATAAGCAAAAAGATTAAAAAATTGTATCTTTTTTTATTGACAAAAAATTAAACAAGTTAAGTTCATTTCATGACCATTTAGCTTCCTCATCATGAAAAACACTTACCCAGGTGGAAAAGTTCCCGATAGTGACTACCGGTAGTCACTTCCGGTAATTTTTCCGGAAATTACAACCAAAATTTGTTACCGAAAAACTTAAGAATTTTTTTTTGGTTGCAATTCCCAAATAAACTACCAGTAGTGACTACCGGTAGTCACTACCGGGAACTTTTCCATCTGGGTATATATTATTAGTTTTACAAAAATTTCAATTTTTTGTTAAAAATAAAAGTACCGATCAATTTAATATAAATATATTGGTTAAATGTAAACTTTAAATGCATCAATCGATTTGTGTTGATGCCAGGAATATAACTCTGACAAAATTTATTAAAAATTTTCATGAAGAAAAAAGTTATTTCAAAAAATACGAAAAAAGATTTTTTAAAAAATTAAAAAATAATTTTATTTATAGATTTTAAGTAAAATATATGGGCGATTCCACGTGAGATTTACCTATGACCTTTTAAATTCGTCTAAATATATTTTTTCTTGTTCTTTTGTAGAAACAAAAGGTTTACGTATTTTTTTATTTTTTTATAAGTGCTCAAATTTTTGAGTTATGAATTTTTAAAAATCTGATTTTTTCCAGTTTTTTTGAAATACACCTAATTTCAATGACATGTAACTTTAAAAGCATTGAATTTAGGAATTATGATCAAGATACAAAAAAGTTTCAGTTTTTTATCGACTTTCAAAATATGTTAACGAAAAAAAAATTTTGAATTTGTTTATAAAAACAGCAATTTTTCATAAACAAATTAAATTTTTTTAAATTTAGGCGCGATTTTTTTTATTTTTTTTTAAATTTTTACACACATGAAAATAAAAAGAAAATTTTGTAATAAGTTTTGAAGTGGGCCTGATGATCCTTTTGTTTATATGATTTGTTTAAAAAAAAATTTTATTTTTTTTTCGATTTTTTTTATTTTTTAAAACGAAAAGTGTTTTTGACACTAGGATCTACTTGTAAACTTATAGAAAAACAAATTAAAATACATTTTATTTTGAAAAATAAAAAAAAACGAAAAAGAAGTGAAATTTTTTTTTAAAACAAATCATATAAACAAAAGGATCATTAGGCCCACTCCAAAACTTATTACAAAATTTTCTTTTTATTTTCATGTGTGTAAAAATTAAATAAAAATAAAAAAAACCGCGCCTAAATTTAAAAAAATTTAATTTGTTTATGAAAAATCGCTGTTTTTTATAAACAAATTCAAAAAAATTTTTTTCATTAACATATTTTGAAAGTCGATAAAAAACTGAAACTTTTTTGTATCTTAATCATAATTTCTAAATTTAATACTTTTAGAGTTACATGTCATTGAAATTAGGTGTATTTCAAAAAAAATTGAAAAAATAAGATTTTTAAAAATTCATAATTCGAAAATTTGAGCACTTATAAAAAAATAAAAAATATACGTAAACCTTTTTTTCTGCAAAGAATAAGAAAAAAATATATTTAGACGAATTTAACAGGTCATAGGTAAATCTCACGTGGAATCCCCCATATACTTTATATAAGTTAATCAATTCGTTTCAATACGAGAAATCAGTTCCTTGGAAAAAAATTAAATTTACAGTGTAAAAAATTTTTTGGTTAAAAAACGTATTTTCGAATTTTTGAAAAAAATTATGTGGATATTTTTGTAAATCCTTGTGTCTGATTTTGGATATTGATAACTGCAATAAGCCTAAAAAATTTTAGGACAATCCATCAAAGCGTGTTCGAGATAATTGTAGAGATAATTTGTACACAAGATTTTGTGACATACTTACATATACACACAAACATACATTTGGACATTTGTTTCAAACTTTAAATATATGGATTCTAGAAAAAAAGCCCATATAACCAATTTTTAAAAAAGCGAAAAGCGGCACGAATAGAAAGCTTCCTCGGGAGAAGAGGAAGCAAAATAAAAGTTATCATTAATTCTAGTAGGGATCAGAGCCATGCTTGTGTAGAATAAGCTGTAAAAAATTGGAGTAATCGGTCGGATTGATTGTTGTAAATCACCTGCGCCAGCAGCCTACTTCTTTTTTTTGTTATATTAAATATAAATAACAAAATCTAGTTAAAAATAATCGATTATAATTTTTTTCAACACTTCATAATAAGAATAAAACGATGTAAAGAGATTTGGTGTGATTATATTTTATTTTATAATAAAAAAAATCCTGAAATAAGCTCTTAAAAATGGCGTAAACACCAGAATAATCTCTTAATTACATTATGAATACAGTCTTCTACTATTTATGTTCTTTTAGTTTAATTAACAATATCAATTAGTTCCATTTTTATTGTTTCAGGTCTGAGACTAATAACCTTCTAAAATATGGCTTTGTATGTTTCTTCTACACAAAATTCAAGCAATGGTAAGATAATTTTACCAACTCAATAACATTGTTAAAAATTTTTATGAAAATAGTGAAAAACTTTAATCAAAACAATTTACAAATTACATGTAACCTAAAAATGTTACATTTAGTACAAAGATAAGAATTTTTAAAGTGGTCCCGTAATAATGTTTTGGGTTAGAAAAAAGTGATACATATGTGTTTTAATAGTCCATGATGTCTGTGGAAAAATTAATATATTATTAAATTATAATTTTCAAATGTTGTTTTAATAAGAATGTTTCCAGTTTACATATTATTATTATTGGTTAAGACTCCGTCAGAAATATCACGATTTGCAAGGGGTCTTTGAATTGTCTATAATTTTGTAAAACTGTAGTATTGGATATAAGAAATGGAAGTCCCAAAGGATTTTTGAAAATAATCAAAATTGTAAATGTTACGCCTTATTGAAATTTTTGACAATTATTTTTTAAACATTAATATTTCTGAAACAAACAATTGGATCTCAATAAAATTTTAATTGTTCAAAAAAACATATCTTTTCGAAGTGTTATATAGCTTAAAAAAATTTGAAATTTGATCCAAAAAAAGTCGAAATTTTTTTTAATCGTTGTTATACTTGAACGGGGCCGATTTTTGAGTTTCTTGTAAACAAGTAAAATATTGCTTATAATTTCACCTTTATTTTGTGCAACTTAAATTGGACTAAAATCATTATAAAAATATGCATCAAAAAACAATAAATTCAGCTAAAATGTTTATAAGTTTTTATTATACATAATAATAATAATATGTAAACTCAAATTTGAAACATTCTTTTTAAAACAACATTTGAAAATTATAATTTAATAATAAAATTAATTTTTCCACAGACTTTGTAGAATAGAATACCTACATTAGAGTTCTAGCGGAACGTAGCGCGGCGCCTGTCACTCACTACGTACTACATGCGTCATGCGCACTGTCAAAAATGTTTAAATAAACCAATTGTCGAATGCGTGATATTTTTTTTCTCGACGGAATATTATTCAGAAGGGTTTTAAGTATATGAAGCTATATTTCATTTTGAAATTCGATTGTTTTCATGGTTTTTTACTATTTGTTTATAAATAAACAATTTTTTTTGCAATAAAAATCAATATTTATGCACCAAATAAAACTATGGTTCAAGACAAGAAGAATGCCGTTTAGATTATTAAAATCGATCAATAAATTTCTTTGAAATTAATTTTTTTAAAAAAAGGGTCAAAAATATTAAATTGTTAATAACAACAACAAAATTTTTTTTTTGCAAAATCGTTTTAGGGGGTGATTGTGCATATAAAATACTATAAGAAAAATAACATTTCAACATAAAATAAATTTTTTCAGGTTTAGGTGTCACGTTTCAGAAATTCTTACTCTATAAATAAAAAGTAAAATTTGTTTAATCTTTAAACAAATTATATTTTTAATTGTTAATTTTATTATTATTAGGTATTATTTATTATTTAACTTCAACATTTATCAACAACTTTGTTCCAATCATTAAGAGGGGATCCCACTTTAAGAGGCCTGAAAATAGCGCTTTTTTGAGAATTTTTTTAAGAAGGAAAAAAAAACTTAGACCTTCGGGATTTTTGGGATGTTTTTTTTATAAATATTTGAAGTATTTGTAAAAAGTTTTTGACAAATAATATTAAAAAATAGACAAGATAAAATTAATTGTGTACGATGGTGCACATATTGACTTTAAAAACGGTGGGCGCGGTGGAGACTGCAATTCTTGTTTAAATCATAAAATCAAAGAAAATTTTTAAAGTTTACATATATAGTTTCTATTAACTGAAAAAAGTCCAAAGAAATGGTGAAATTTGAATGTTTTGAGAGATAAAAACAAAAAAATCATTGTTTTTAAAAAAATAATGACTTTAACTGGTTCTCAAAATTGTAAAAAATGTTCTTTTCGACATTTTTATTAGTTAACATAGAAGAGGGATAAATACTGAGAAAACAAGCCATCATTCATTAAAATCGGTCAAGGCGTTTTCCGTCAAGCATGCCCACCAGTTTGTAAGAATCAGAAAAAGTGAAATTATAGAGAAAACGTGCTTCAAAGTTTAAGGTTCAATAAGTATAAGTCTTACCGTAGATGGTTATACGTAGTGGTCTTACCACAGGCTAAGAGGTCTTACCTCGGAAGTAGTTTGACTTCAAGCCACGTATATGTGACCGGGTCTGAGAAAACGGTGTTATCGACCAAAAAATCAATTTTTTTATGATGGTTTCTTATAGTTTTAGGTCCTAAAAATACAATGCAACTAGTCTCGAATGTTAAAAAATTTTTTTTGCATTTGTTTAAACAAATTAAAAAAAAAATTTTTTTAGTAAAATTCTGGTAATTAAAATATAAGTAATTCTAAGATAAAAATCACTCTTGGTATTTTTGTTTAAGATAAAAATTTATAAATTTTTCAAAATTAACGAAAAATTCGACCTAAATCCTCGAAGATGATCTCCAGATATACCCGTTATCGGCGACCTGGTTGTCTAAGTGTTAAGGATATTTTCTTAAACCTCAAATATGAATGCAAAAACCATTTAAAAAATTCGAGCTAAATTCTCGGCGATGATCCTAAAGTGTACCCATCAACGGCAAACTGGTTCTGTAGGTAAAAAATAGGACATTAGCAAGTCGTTTAAATTAAATTTTAAAATTTCATATTTTTACTTTTGCAAAACAAATTCACAGAAAATTAAAAGGCATTAAAATAAGCTGCAACGCTTATTATTTCAATCCAATTTTGCTTATTTTAATCCATTTTGGTATTAAAATAAGCAAAATTGGATTAAAATAATAAGCGTTGCAGCTTATTTTAATACCTTATAATTTTTTGTGTTGTTTATAACAATAACACTGATGTTCAAAAAATTATTTAACCATAAAAATCGTGTTCAGCATAAAAAATACATAAGGAACACTTATCTAGGTCCTTTGAAAGATAAAATGTTTCAAGAAATCTATTTTAATTAGTAGTAAAACTTTAAACTCGCTTTTCTCGAAAAGTTGATTTTGGTCGATAGCAGTTTTCTCAGACCCGGTCACATATGCGAAAGTAGTTTTACTACAGTCGAAGACATTTTACTTCCAAAGCAGTTTTACTGAGTAAAGCGATATTACTACGTGCGTTTCCCTTTAAGAAATTACCATGCTACAACTACCGTAATAATATTCTCAACGATATTCGTTTTAATTGGTATTGTAACTTAAGGGGTTACACAACTTTGAAATTTAAAAAAGACCAGAAAATTTTTTTTTGATGAACTCTTTCAGTCTCATAATTAGGACACTTGATAAATAGCTACAAAAGGTACTGCACCTATGGTTTTCAGGGTCGCTGATTACGAATCTGTAATCAGTTTTAAAAAATTCAAAATGTCGGATTTAATATTGCGGACGATGAAATCAAAACAAATCACTATATACTGTTTACGGTCGCTGATTTTGAACTTGAAGTTAGTAACATCTTTCATGCAAATTTGTTTGATTTTTGATTTCATCGTCAGCCATTTTCGATCCGCCAATTTTTAATTTTTTAAAACTGATTCTAGATTCGTAATCAGCGACCTCAAAAAACCCTGATTAACGATTTTCAAGTAAATTGGATTGATATTTTGTTTCCTCGTGGAGGAAGCTTTGTAGTCCTTTCTTTATAAAAAATTTCAAAGTGGAGAGCCAAATTTTTTTCTATATAGAAACATTTTACATGAGATCCTGATCAATTGTCCGGATGTATGTTGTTACATCCCGACCACTTCAAAATAATTTTTCACATAATTATGGATATATATATTATATGTATATATGTGCATATATATATATACACATAATATACATAATAATTAGACTTATAGATAACTATTATTATAATGTAATTAATATATAGTATTTAAAATTAATTATCTCATAAAAGAAAAGTATATAGATATGTATATGATGTATGTATGTATGTGTGTGTATACATCTTTTAAAGAAATGATCTACATGCGTTGTTCAATATTATCAACCATAATTAGCATTGCTCTTCTTCACTGCAGTCGATGCGTTATCAACCCGTATGATAATTGATCAACTTAGAATTAATTATTAGGCGTCGATATTAAAGAATATCACACAGAAAAAACCTTGTCTCATTTTTGATGCAAATCAAAATGAGCCAATGCTAAACGACATAGACAGTGGCGCCACCAACCTGGTTCATTTTTGTTGCGCATCAAAATGAGCCGCCTACACGCATCATTCTGAGTTCAGTTTTTTTCTGTGCACATTCTCAGTAAAGTAAATTATATACAAATAATTAAATAGTAGCTTAACGTTTGCGCAATAACTAATGGAAAGATTTAAATAATAATGGACCAACATATTTTTCGTACCTTTCTGAGAAGGCACATATTTATAATATAGTAAATATATAAGAAAGTATGTCATGAGATGATAAACTTTGATCGAAGATAAGAATTGTAATATTAATTAAAATAGGTAATTGCTTTAACTAAAAAAAAATTGAATAACCTTTTGATCTTACAATTTTTATCATAATTAAATTAGATCATTTCATTGTTTAAAAAAGTATATAAACCACTGTTAATAGGCTCATAGTTGTCATATTACTCCGGTGATTTTCTGCCCGAACAGTATCGTTGAGTCGGCCCTTCAATCGTGAAATTGTACTTTTAAATCAGCGTTAATAAAAAGAGTCTTGTTTCTTTAATTTATATAAGATTGAAGGTAATTTTCATTGAATTTTATAAGTTAATTTATTTCGATTGTCGTATAATATTATTTTGTGAAAGTTACTTCCGATTATTAAAGAAACAAGTTTCTTTTTGTATTAAGGTACAGTGTCGAGAAATATCTCTTAAATAATATTAAATAGTCGTTGGTGCATTAGTGCTAAATAACGAACTTAATTATTGTCATCCTGCGATACAATTATGTAAAGCCGGTTGCATTCATTGTAACAATCTAGAATCAA